CTCAGTAAAGTGCTGTTGTGGAAAGGAAACACGTAGCAAATGCATGACAAAGAGCCTTGAGGCTGAAAACCCAGGATGCTTGTCCAGGGAGAGAACCTTTGATGGCTAACTCAAAGCCTAGAAGACTCAGTTGCTTACAAAGCCCAGATGATGTGGCCAATGGAAGGTTTCTCATACAGAGGTAGGTATAAAAGAGCTGAGCAGAGCTGGGTTGGGGTGGCACATGCCTTTATTCCCAGCACTAGGGAGACAGAGGCAGCAGGATCTCAGTGAGTTCGAAGCCAGCCTGATCTGTAGAGTGAATGCCAGGATAGGCTCCAAAGCTACACAGAGAAACCCTGTCTCGAAAAATAAAAACAAAACAAACAAAAAAAGAGCTGATCAGAAATTAAATGCCCGTTAACATTTTTATGACTATGTAGAATCAAACTTGCATTTGAAACTGCTTGCTAAGTGATATATGCATCCAAGTTGGTATATTAAGAAACAAGGGCATTGAACACCAGAGAAGCACTGATACAGAATGGGGGATATGATAGGAAGTAAAATGGGTAGCAGGAAAGACTGTCTGGGAACATATGTAGGTCTCTATTATCTACAACAAGAGTAGGATCCACTAGATATTACTACAGTTAGGTAAGGCTAACTATAATTCAGACACTGTGAGGCCTTGCATTAGTAGACAGTTCTCCTGCCTTCTGTCACTTTCTTCATCTCTGATTCAATACCCCTTTTCTCTAAGAAACAAGAACTGAAGGTGTATTTCTTTTTTTTCCCAATAACAAAACTCCAAGGCTGAATGCAAGTTGGCATTAAATGAACCATCACCTTTTAAAGGGTTTCAGACCAGCCAGCAATCTCCCACTAACCTTGGTACCTTTAGTCTGTCAAAACATGCTGCACAATCCAATTTTGGTTTTGTAGACTTGATGTTTTATTCATCGCAGGACAAGGTTGACCCTGGATTTGTGTTTGAGCAGAGGTTATCTTTGGATTAGCTCTCAGTTGGTGACTTGCCTCTGCTCCATCCTGCATAATCCAGTACCTCTTGGGAATACCAATTAAGGTCCTCAATCATATTAATTAGAATGCCTTCTCCATGGTACTCCAGAAATTCAGCAACTTATAAACAGGAAACTGGTAAAATCCAAAGCAGTGTGTGTCTGTGTGTGTGTGTGTGTGTGTGTCTGTGAGAGAGAGAGAGAGAGAGAGAGAGAGAGAGAGTGAGTTTGTGTGAGTGTGTGTGTGTGTGTGTGTGTGTGTGTGTGCGTGTGTGTTAGGTAGCCAAAAGCAATGAGGATGTCCAGAATACTTTAACAGAGCTGGGCAGTGGGACTGAAACTGCTTTGCTCTGAATCTTCACTGCTGACAAAGATTGATGCAAAATTATTAATTACTTTTATTAATGACTTGGGTGAGGACATAGATGGCATGCTGAGCAAGTGTGTCAATGACAAGAAAATTTAGCAGGAGAACAACTACTGTGATGACAAACTCAGGATGGAAAATGACTCCAAAACAGAATTTAGTGGCCATTCTTCCATAGTGTGCCTGGCTGAGTGACTTCCCTACAGCATAGGTTGATCACTCCTATATCACTGTATCCCTCTTCTATTGAGAAAACATTAGTTAATCGAGTTTGCTGTATAAGTCAAATCACAAGTTTCTGCCTTTCACAGTGTTGGCATATGCAATTCCCAACCCTTTCAGATTTCCAACAAAATCTATAGTTCTTTTTCTAGTACCCAGTACTTGAGCCAAACAGGATTATTATTAGACTATTTTATGTTTATGTCTTATGGTTTCTCTCTCTGTGAATGCTGTTCTCCAAGAGCCCCATTTCCCCATATTTTCCTTCTGCCTCAATTCCCCAAGACCATCCAGTTCTTGCTCAGTGTGAAAGCGTGTAGTCTTTACAGTCTTTGGATGGAGCAGTCTTTTCTTTGTTAATCTTCAGTCGTACTGATTGGTTGCTTTCTTTTATCATTGTTTGGCTTTGTACTGCACTTTAATCCTTTGGTACATTTTTAAGTTTCCATAAGACTCCACTTACTGCTATACCCTCTGTGAGATAAGTCATATTTCTAGTCTGTGTCTGTGTGTGTGTGTGTATTTTGTACATAGTTGAAGGCTCTGAGGTGGTCTTCATGAGTTTATTGACTTCAGAAAAATACTCTTATAAAGGGCCCTGAATTATGCTTACTAGAATACATTGCAGTTAGATTATTGTAACTTATTAATAAAAACTTTGTAATACTTTTTGGGGGGAAATGGTACTGCGGCTCAAGCTCTGGTTTTGTTTTGTTTTGTTTGCTTGTTTTTTTTTGTTTTTCAAGACAGGGTTTCTCTGTGTAGCTTTGGAACCTATACTGGCACTCCCTCTGTAGACCAGGCTCGCCTAGAACTCACAGACATCTGCCTACCTCTGGCTCCCGAGTGCTGGGATTAAAGGCATGTGCCACCAATGCCTGGCTGAATATGTTATAGAAGTGCTGTACCACCAGGAGAGCTCTCTAGCCCTCAGTGTTTAACTGAATGAATGAGTGATAGATGGATACAACTAAATTTCCCTAAGATAATGATATGAGGATTGGAAAGCAGTTGTTCAAAACGAAAAGGACAATTGATATCTGAGATAAAATATTTCTATGTGATACCTCTTTTTTTTGAGAACAGTAATTTTTTTAGTGTTTAACATTCTAAAGAAAACAATTGCCATTTTGTTTTTGGGAAATCCTGTTATTGTTCATGTGGGCAAAGTATAATACAGAGCAGAAACTTGGAGCTGCCCACCCTACATATACCTTTGACATAGGGCATGGTTATCAAATGCGTTTTCATCTAATTTATCCATCTAGTCCATAGCTTTTTCTTTTTTTCCATATTTTTTATTTAACTTTTTTATCATTTTTTATTTTAATTTTAAATAGCTTGTTTTACATGTCAATCCCAGTTCCCTCTCCCTCCCCTCTTCCCACACTCCCCTTCCCCCCCTCCCTCCCACACTATTGCCAAATCCTTCCACATAGGGGATATCTAGAGTCTGTCATTTTACTCTTGGTAGGGTCAAGGCACTCCCCTAAGAGTCCAGGCTGAGAGAGCATCTCTCTTTGTGCTATAGGCACATGAAGACAGTTTGTATACCAGGGATAGACACTGATCCACAGCTCAGGGCCCCATAGGTTGCCCAGGCCTTCTCACTGACACTCACATTTGGGGGGTCCAGATCAGTCCCATGCTGGCCTCCCCACTGTCGGTCTGGGGTCCAAGAGCACTCCCCTGTTCAGATCAGCTTAACTTTTTAAGCATGTCATTTGCAGTTCCCTCTCCCTCCCCTCCTCCTCCACCCCCAATCCTCTCAACCCCTCACTCCTACTTCATCCCCCCTCTGCTCCCCAGGGAGGGCGAGGGCTTCCATGAGGGATTTTCAGAGTCTGTCACATCATCCCAGGAAGAGCCTAGGTTCTTCCCCATGTGTCCAGGCTGAGAGAGCATCCCTCCACGTGCTATGGGTTCCCAGAATCACTCTGGAGCCAGGAATAAATACTGCTCTACTCTCCAAAGTCTCACAGTTTGCCAAGGCCTCCTCTCTGTCACCCAGGTTCGGTGGGAGGGATGTCTGGATCAGTCCCATTCTGGCCCCTCAGTCATCAGTCTGGAGTCCGTGTGTTCCACCTTGTTTAGGTCAGCTGCCTCTGTGGGTTTCGCCAGCCCAATCTTGATTCTTTTGGTCATCACTCCTCTCTGCTACTGGGTTCCAGGAACTCAATTCGGTTCACAGCTCTGAGTGTCTGCCTCTGCCTCTGTCTTTGAGAAATTCATCTGTGATTTTTATATAGGTAGACTAAAGAAGGCACTAGAGGTCTGTTGTTATAAGTCACAGGGGTTGTAATTAGCATTTTGTGTTAGAATGTGCAATACAGCCTATGTTGTTTGGATAATACCAATTTATAACCTTTGGATTCTGTATAGTACTCTTAAAGTGGCCCATTTTGATGCATTATGTCATACTCTCAAGTATTCCTTTTGACCATTTTAAGTATGTGGTTCCCTGTGCTTGATGAGAGTTTAAAAATAAAATAAAAAAATCCAGTCTCTCTTGCTTTCTAGAAGTATGATGTAGACAAGTTCCCAAATGTCTCTACACACGTTTGTATGGATGCTTTCATCAATAGAAGGCAGAAGTCATGAGTCTGGAATTTCTGAGTCATTCCTTCTTTCTGTATTTATAATCCTGTAGATGTTTTCCCATTGGCCAGACAGATCCAGAGGACTAGGAAGAGACTTTACAGATTTCATAAATCTCCTGCATTAAAGACCACACAACCAAATATAGGAGCATGGTTTTGTTAGTTACCAGTTCCTGCTGGTTATCATTAGAAAACGAAAGATCACAGAGATTATTGCCTCTCCATTTGTCTTTTCAGTGGGTAAGCGAGATAAGCAGGGCAGGAGGTTTCCATATTTCCTGATGATATAAATTCTGTGTGGTTGACTGCAGACTGTCTGAACCCAGGATATCTCGACTTTCAATTCGTCACTAAGATGGAAAAGTACCTGTATCATATTTCCTGCTGGGACTAGAGAAGGGAACTTAAAGAGGGGTAAGAGGGTCAAATTCATCTGCTAGAAGTGTGACTCCAGGTCAAAAAATCCAGATGAACATTATTTTTTAATGTAGCAGTTATAGTTCAGTGATTAACAGAGTTCTGGAGCATCACAGCTGGAATTTAATGATGGCAGGACCACTTTCTAGCCAGGGGATCTTAAGTTATGTTATTTAATCTTGTTTGAGTTTATCTATATGTTATATGGGATTCAAAGGCAAATGACAATGTGAAACAAGTCTGTCAATTTTGTTGTTGGTTCTGGCAATAAAACTTGTTAATATTATAAAACCTTTGGGGTAGTTTTTAACCTATAGTTAGCAAGCATTTCCAGTGCTTATTAAAACTCCAGGGAAGAGCTATCCCTGCTTACCTTTTTATTTCTATTGACAGGATGGGACTACTGTGGTGGTTGATGAGTCTGTATTTCTATGGGATCCTGCAGAGTCATGCCTCAGGTGAGTATGTGACTTTTGGTAAATAATTGAAATTAAGATTGCATACAGGATCATGTGTCCACTTTTTCTGATAGTGAACTTTAAAAAGCACAATGTTGGTCTTGTTCCATGGGCTTCTGCAGTTGTACAGAATCAAGTATCTGAAAGAACTGTAGAATCTGGAGATGAGAGGCACTGGAACACTTAAGAAGAGGGCTGATCTGTATAAACACGGGGGAATGGCAGCTTCTTGCCCATAAGGAGATTTCTCCTTCTTCTCACCTTCAGTCCTATGGGGGAAATGGCAGGGATATAGCACAACCTATTCCCCAAACTCGTACCAGCACTGGGGTATACTCAGCTGTCAGGTGTCTACTGGGATGCTGAAAATAGAACAAGAACTATGGATCTGATCAAACTGTGTCTAAGTAGTCAACAAAGGATTTGATGGCAGGCTCTTGCTTTCTTTGGATATGGCTTTGTGTGAGAACCCCACCAAGGTCTTTATTTAGCTTGAGTAGCCAAACTTAGTCACCATGACCCTGGGCCCCATGTACACAGAGGTAGAAGAGGTTGGGTACTCAAAAGTCCATCTTTTGATGTCTCCTCTCATCTCTAAATTGCTTCTCATTGTCACCTAGGTTTGCTCGATCTACTGATAATAATTGCAGACTTTTATTTTTCGATTCATCATTTTTTTTATAAAAATTTTTGCACATTGGGCTGAAATTAGTCTCTGTCATTTCCATATATTTCTTTGATTTAGCTTTATGATTGAAAAAGAAAGTACCTAAAGCACAGGTTCTTTAGTTTTTTTTACACAGGGATCATAATTTTAATAAAGATCCCTATGTATGAGTCCTGTGAGCATCATGGGCTGCACTTTGACTATAGTTGCTTTAATGGCTGTTCTCTGTGAGAGCCCTTTGGAAATGTTAAATCAGCATTATATAACCATGACCCCAGTGTTCTGTAATATGTACCTTCAACTCTTCTTCATTTGGCATGGATTTCAGCCCTCCTACCATCCTGATCATCATTGCTGGGTGCACTTCAGTTTTTCTATGCCACTTAGAGCATTGTATTAGAAACCAAAAATAACTCTAAAGACAGGCTGTAACTAGGACAGAGTACAGCTGAAAGAACAGATCATATCTAAACTTGTAGGCCCTTTGGGACTTCACAGAGGAAAGGATGTATTTTAACCAGGCCTAGTATTCAACTGGGATGTGCTAGCATACAACTGGGCTACAGTTATATACCAGCATCTATTGGGTACCTGTTTCATTTGATTGGTAGGGACTTGGTGTACTGATTCTTAAATATGATGATGAGAACCCCAGACTATAATTTACTTTCACTTGACTTAGCCCGGATTGAATGTTATCTTCTCACAGAAGATTTCCTTGACCATTTTTAAAAATTAAAATAGCCCTACCAACCACTCCCCTCTAACCCATTATCATTGCTTTAACATCTCCCATCTTCTGCTAATATTCTTCGTTGTACCTTTCCCCTGTCATTTGCCATTGGACCCCTCAGTATCCTCTCCTCCTATCTTCTTTCTTCCTTACAGCCATCTTTCCTCTCCTCCTCCCCTGTTTCCTTCCTCTTTCTCTTTGTGGTCACGCCTCTCTGATTTTAAGGTCCTTGGAGGCACAGATTTATTCATTTTGTTTGGTTTTTCCAAACACTTGGAATATGATGGATGCATAGAGACACAATAGGTTCTCAGTACACATGATACATACACAGATAGATGGATAAATATCTGCTCAGAAGCCCCTCTTCTCAAGCTGGTCAGTTTCCTATTGGTAGTCCTTCATCCATACTAAAAATTCCCATCAGAGAGTCAAGTACCACACCTGAAAGTTAAACTGAGAGACGACCCTGCTGCTGCTGTTGAGAGATCAAAGCCTTCAAAGGTTTGTGAGGTCTGCTGCCTGCCCAGGCATCCTGGCAGTGCTGCTTTTCTGAATGACCTTTACTGTATTCACCCAAAGATCCCCTTCCCCCAAATAGTATTGGTGAGTGCACTTTCTCCCCAGGAACTGTGACTCATAATTCTGTCAGGGGAAGCTGCCTTCTTGAATAAGATGAGTTCTCATACCAGCCCCATTGAGTCACCATGGGAGAGGAAACATGTTGTAATCCCCTCGGCCCATCTGGCACACACTCATGCCTTCCTTATGAAGAGGTGTATTGTGTCTGTGTCTGTGCCTCACTTCCTCATTGGAGGGAAAGGAACAAAAAGGAAGCGTTGTTGACAAAAATGAAAGGGACAACTGACTCTGGGGATAAAAGGAATCATGGAGATCTAGAGGGATCGGGCAACCTCTTTACATGCCAGCATCACCTTTGACAGGGATAGGGATGTTGGCAGACTTGTTGGTCTTCCGTGCAGCTTTCTGTGCTCCAGTTTCTCTTCTGAATGGAAGTGCTCACTAACATAAGCAACAAAGCAGAAATAGCCTGAGCATTCTATAGTACTCTATGTTCCTAGGTCACAAGTCAGGGATTTGGTACTCTGGATTGTCATACAATGACATTCCTGTGCAGTGGACTGGTCTTCAAGCCACAAAATTCTGACTTCAAAATGTGATCTTATGGTATGTGAACTCTGCTTGCTTTATACCTTCAAAAACTGGGAAAGAAGTATTTTCATCCAAATAATAATGAAAAAATATCAACAACATCAAATAATAACAATAAATAAACAGCCAGTATTCTTATTATTAAGGAATTAAAGCTTGGATAATTATATTAGTGACAACATAATTAAATGTGGTCATTTTAGAAGTAATGTAACTCCTTTTCCTTAAGAGCAAGTTACAGTTTGCACACTCTGTGTTATTAGGCTCTCATTTCAGAGCATGGCTGTTGTAGCTCCGTCTTTTTCAATGAGCACTTAATTTCCATGTGGCTAAATGAATTAAGTCCACACAGCTAGTGTTCAGCATGACTGCAGTCTCCACTCATGCTTCAGTTCCTAAGACTTCTGTTATTTTTAAATACAATTCTCTTGTGGTCTACTAGAATGCAAATGATGCAGAGAGACAGTTGTGATGCAAAGACTAAATGGAAGCCATTGTGAGGGAGTTACTCACTCACTCACTGCAGAGGGACTGTCTGCTCAGGTTTCTGTGCTGTCTACTAAAGCAGTTATGCCTTTTCCCTTCCCTCCAGATCATTCTTTCAGACAGAAATTCACTGCAATCCTCATTTCAAACCTCAGCATTCCCCCTTTTGCTTGCTATAGTTTTCAGTATTTCCAGTATTAGCTGGAAGGAGCTCCTGCATACAGGAACTCAAAAGGAAAATATCAGTTCATCTCTTCACTCATCTTTGGTCAGTTTACCATTGGCTACATTATGGACAGCTATTTTCCATATAGATCCTATTAAAATATAGGCAATACATTATCTCCCCAAAATGGGTGGCAACCCACGAGGTGTATGGATTTGCTTTTGTTTTTCAAAGTCAACTCAGTTAACTGTGACTCATGTACAGGGCTAGATTCACACCCGCTTCCTTGGCGGAGGGAATACATCCTTGCAAATGAAGAAATAATGTACCTAGAAGTTGGTGGAGGTGCAGCACATAGCTCATGCTGCTCATGGGGATCTGCCTGTCTCCACCACTGAGCATCCCCTTTCCTCTCCCTCATTTTCCCACCTAGTCCCCCAGCTAAACCATTAGAGAAAATGATGTACCTACTTGCAACAGCTATTGACAGTCCTTAGCTCCTCAGATGGGGTCTGTGGCTGTCCTCTGTGACAGAGAAATTGGAGGACCCTATCTTGTGTGGGTATCCATAGCTGTGTGTATCCATGGTTGTAATGGGGAAGACTTCTGAGCCAGGAACTCTGTAGTGCAAAGCCTCCAAGAGCACAATGTGAAGTCATGCTGATGAAGCTGGAGATTCAGCACAGTGAGTACAGTACTTACCTTGCAAGCATGAAGCCCCGAATTTGATCCCACATGAACTGACCATAGTGGATCATACCTGTACTCCTACCACTTGAAATAGGGCCAAAGAGTTCTGAAATTCAAGGCCATCCTTGGCTACATAGCTGCTCTGAGATTTGAGGCTAGTCTGGGGTACATAAAACTGTTAAAAGTCAAAAACAAACAACCAAAACTGAAAAGATATATTGGGAACTGGATTGTGTGCTTTTAAAAAGTGTCTTTGGGATGTGGCATGGCTGCTGCACTCAAGAACTCATAGCAGCTCTGACTGCCTGTGCAAGATCAAGCTAGTCGACATTCCAACCTGGAGAGGAAAGACCTTCGTGAGTCCCTGACCTCTGAGTGAGGAGCTGCGTCCGGTTGATGCTTCTGGGAGAGTCAGCTCTCCAAGACTCCTGGTAGGTCGACCATGAGACAGTGGATGGCTCCTCCACACCTCTGAGGTGTATTGGCAGCACAAATTAGAGCTAGTGAGTTGTTAAAAACCAAAGCCAAGGAAAACATGAAAAAGAGTTCGCGTTTGGTAGGGACATGGGATGGGTGTGAAAGAAGTTAGATAGAATAGTTAGAAGTAACTGTAATAAAAACATACTGCCCAAAATTCTCCGATAATTATTTTGTAAAATTGTTTTCTTTCTGGAGGGATATAATATTTTTAGTTTTAAAATTATTGCTTTGATAAACTTATTTTTTGAAAGTTGCAAATAAATAATAAAAACAACAGGCACCAAAACTTGACTAGACGCATGATATTGTAAATTCTCAGCTTTTCGCAAGAATTTAATCTTGCCCAATTCAATGGCCTCATTTTATTTGAATATGCGTTTTGAATCACTCCACGTTCAGATGTATTTGTGTCATTCAGCCCTGCCTTTGTTGCCCACGGCTGCTCATACTGAACATTTCATTTCTATGTAATTTTGTTCAAACATTTGGAGAATGTCTGAAGACTATCATTCCATTTTGTTCTTAATCTAAAGGTCATTTGGAGTTACAGAATTTTGCCCCGTCTCTAAAATCTGAGTCTGAGAGAAGGTCTCACCATTCCTTTA